AACTATATGACTTCACCCTCTGCTCACAATACCTGCCTGCAGCACAGGCTTCTGCGGTTTAGCCCACAGTGCCACCACGCCCCTCCCTCTCTATGAGCTGTCCCCAGTTCACATACACTCTGGGTAACCTCAGCTGGTCCATTTCCAGGAAGGTATTGCTAGGATTTGAACTCTTGCATGAACCCCGTTGAACTATTTTGACTTCACCCTCTGCTCACAATACCTGCACATGGTGAAAGCCACAGGAGCATGGCTACAGGTTACATTACATCAGAAGCCAGGGCTGTTAGGGGGCAATGCACAGTTTCTGTTCATGCTAGGATTATTGCCCCACTGAGAAACCCGGGGCAGTGCTGAAGGGAGGAGCTTCTGCCACATCTTCTGGCATTATCTTCATTGCATGGGAAGAAACCATACTTTAATATTTCCCAAGTTACAAGTGAAATCTAAGAAGGAGCCCTAGATGTGAAAAACCATAGGTGAGTTTCTCATTGGTCATGATTTGGATAATTAGTAGGGACCAAAATTTGACGACTAAACTCCAAGGAGATGAGGATAGTTTTTAATTAATATGTTTTAATATTTTTAATAGTTACACAGAACAAGAGGGAGTTGTAGGCCTCTTGGCTATATATTATACAACATATTAAACAGGTGGATTTGGAGAAATGATCTATTGGAAATAGCTCAGACAAAGCTCTTCCAACTTGAAAACACAAACAAAAAAGGGTTCGTTTTAAAAATTCATTCCTTTCCTGAGTTGAGTTATAGCCCCTTTGGAGACTTAAAGATGGAGACATAAATATTTTAATATTGAAAATAATATGAGGACTACAGTAACTTGTACGCTTATGAGCAAGGTGTCATTATCTGCCTGTGCAGTAGAAAATCATGCTGTCTGACTGGGGACTTCAGCAAATGGCCTCATTTTGCAGTTAACAGCAGTGGCAAAGTGTGTATTCTCCCATTGAATGAACAGGATGAGAGCGGAAGAAAGCAAGAGAGCTTATAACATATATTATACGAAATGTGTGTTTGAAAAACATTAGGATTGATGTGATCAGTCAAAGAGACATTTTCCATTCCAGATAGAACTACATGTTCCATCACTGCCTGAAATATGGATGCTGCCCAGTAGTGCTTCATCATGGGGGATTAATGCTGCACAGAAAGCTGTGCATTTATTATTGCTGACTTTCCACTTTGTCCCCTTTTGGCTCAAGGAGAGAGGAAGAAATTGATAGTTAAACAGCTTTATCACACTATCTTTTAAATCCCAAAGTGTCTAATTATTCTTACTGGGACAGCAGTGGGTAGGTGGGTGCATGTGGGCACATGTATATCTACCATCAGATGTGATGTCAGGACACAACTGGATGGACTTTTGTCCTACTGTTTGTGCTGGTGTTCTTAGTGTTAATTTTGATGTGTTTTTTTCCTGTCAACTACATGATGTAAACTGCATGATGAGTAGAACCTGACCTTCTCTTGTACATAATATTCTGTATACTCTATTTGGCCGGCACAGCTTTTTATTGGGTTTTTTTTGGGGGGGCGAGTATCATTCCTGCTCACACTGTTTTGTCTGGCTTTCTAGCTTCTGTGGTTGGCCATGTCAGTCCTTTGAGGCAGTGGCAGGGTGTGTCCTGATTACATTGAGGTTGATGCCTTCAGTGGGGCAAGGTGTCATTACTTTGTTTAGGATCATGCCCCAAAGGTCAACTCCTCTTTTAAAAATGTAGTTTAGGGTTGCTTTAAAAAAATGATTAGTGCTAGATCAGGGAAGTGATGCGGGAGATATTCAGATGTGGCCCTGTCCTGTCCATTCAGTGCTTTGTTACTTCATAAACTGAACAGAAAGGCACGGGGAGTGGAGTCAAAAGGCAGGGGTAATGGCAGAAGAGGGCGTGACATATGTACTACAGGGTGAGGGCGTAACATATGTGCCTAATTTGACCCTCTGCTATCTAGGCACTTACAGTTGGGATAAGTACCAAATGAACAACAATTTCAGCCAGTACAAAATATCAAAAATTCATCCTCAACCCTGGACCATTCCCCATTTAAACACCCTCTCAGTGGATTGTGGGAGAACTGCATGTAGCAGCATAAACGGTTCAAACAAAGAGGCATCTCAATCACAAGAAAATAAAACTTGTCTTGGAAAAAAAAGGTTGCAGAGTATTTTTATTAAATGGGAGGAGGACAAGGAAAAGGGAGTGATAGCAAGGGTGGCAATTAGAGATGGGGGTATTTGTATACCAATTTCCCTGCACAGGTGGCATTAACGAGGGTCCAGCCCCATGGGGCTGGATGGCCTACTCACCGCTCCACTGCGGACATGGATGGCACGATTCTACCAATGGCTTCGCAGAGCGTGATCTGCTCACCACTCTTTGACCTTGACCCTGTTCCGGACATGAATGGCACGATTCTACCAATGGCTTAGCAGAGCGTCATCTGCTTGCCACTCTTTGACCTTGCAGGGAGGCTCCTGCCAGGAGTGGTGAGCGGATCGTGTGCTATGGAGCCATTGAAAGAATCATGCTGTCCACGGCGGATCGGTGAGTGGACCATCTGGAGAATTGTGCTGTGGACCATCTGGCCCCATGGGGCTGGACCCTCATTAACATCACATGTGCGGGGGTATTTGTATACGAATACCCCATGTCTAGTGGCAATGTAATTGTTGACATTTAAAGAGTAATAGAGTGTCACATGTGTGGGGGTATTCGTATACGTAATTGTTGACATTTAAAGAGTAATAGAGTGATTTAATTACACTGTACTTCTCAAAGAAATGTGCACTCCTGGGTTGGTCTGTGAAATGTGTGTGTGAATCCCTAATTCTATAGATTTTCAGCATATTTTTAACTGGGAAAATATCATCTATGTCATCCCTAGTGTGCTTCCTTTTCCCAAACCCTGGAGCATTTGAGCTGTTGTAAAAATGTTTATGAATATATTGTTTATTGTAACGTGAAGGATGAATGTTGATAAGTATAATTGACAAATGTGCTTTTCATGAAAAACAGATTGCTGTATATAATTCTATAAACTACAGGACAAAATTCTTGATGCTGTCATATTCTGATTCCTGAAAATGTCTGCTTGCTTGCTTGCTTGCTTGCTTGCTTGCTTGCTTGCTTGCTTGCTTGCTTGCATGCTTTTTTTCCAGCAAAATCAACCCCCAAGGATACGATCTACCCATTTAGGCTACAATCCTATACTTATTGTACTCTGTAGGACTTATGACAAATGGCCTTGCTAGACAAGGCACTGATTTTGTATCCAGAAACAGGACTGTCTCGTGTAGCCAAAGACAGCTGCTTGCAAATTGCTTTAAAAGCAGAAAGTATATTTATTCAATTGAATAGAAATATCAGCTTTCTGTTGGCAAAGACATATCTAACATTAGAGGGGGGACATTTTAAGATTAACATTGCTGGAGGGAAAACATTTTAAGAGCAGGAAATATACATCCCCCTTCATATTTGTTTTGCTCCAAATAGACACCTATAGGATTACACAGTGTCCCATTAATTTAAACAGAAGGTTATGTTTCAATCTCATTGTGAATATATCAGTTTATCATAATCACAGTTTTATCTGTTTACCATGATCAATTGACCAACAATGTACTTTTATAAATACTGAACCAAAGGCCTAGGCTTTTTATTAAAAAAATAGTGATGTCTATAACCTATGGAACAACTGATTGGTTCAAAATTGGGAAAGGAGTATGATGAGGCTGTATATTGTCCCCCGGCTTATTTAGCTTATATGCAGAATACATCATGCGGAAGGCTGGACTGGAGGAATCCCAAGCCGGAATCAAGATTGCCGGAAGAAATATCAACAACCTCCGATATGCAGATGATACCACTCTGATGGCAGAAAGTGAGGAGGAATTAAAGAACCTTGTAATGAGGGTGAAAGAGGAGAGTGCAAAAAACGGACTGAAACTCAACATCAAAAAAAACTAAGATCATGGCCACTGGTGCCATCACCTTCTGGGAAATAGAAGGGGAAGATATGGAGGCAGTGACAGATTTTACTTTCTTGGGCTCCATGATCACTGCAGATGGAGACAGCAGCCCCAAAATTAAAAGATGCCTGCTTCTTGAGAGGAAAGCGATGACAAACCTTGACAGCATCTTAAAAAGCAGAGACATCACTTTGCCAAAAAAAAGTCCGAATAGTCAAAGCTATGGTTTTTCCTGTCGTGATGTATGGAAGTGAGAGCTGGACCATAAAGAAAGCTGACCGCCGAAGAATTGATGCTTTTGAATTGTGGTGCTGGAGGAGGCTCTTGAGAGTCCCCTGGACTGCAAGAAGAACAAACCTATCAATTCTAAAGGAAA